GGGCTGGGGATCTGGACCTCTGGGTCTGAGGGAGGAGGGGGCTGGGGGCCTGGACGCCTGGGTCTGACGGAGAAGGGGGCTGGGGGCCCGGACTCCTGATCCCATGTCTTCTCTGGGGCCAGGGCGGCTGCTCACCTGAGTCTGGAGCCCTCCCGGAAGAGCTCGTCGTTGGCAGTCCTCTCACCCCGGGGTGGCAGCAGTGCCGCCACCTGCCTGCTCTTGGCCTCCAGGTTGTGAAGGTAGACGATGAGAAAGTCCCTCGCACCACCGGGACCCTCGCGGCCGCCTCCGCCGGCCGCCCGCCGGGCGTGGGCCACCTGGCGCAGCAGCTGCACGATGCCGGGCAGCAGGTCTCGCAGCGAGGGGGGGCTGGAGGCAAGCCGGGGGTCCCCGCACTGCTCTTCCAGGCGCTGCAGCTGTCTCACAGCCCCGCCGAGAGCGCGGGCCTCTCCCGACCGCCACCCCCAGGGGTCTGCCGCGGCAGCCATGGGCCCCCGGGTTCCAGGGAAGGTAGGCGGGCGGCGGGCAAAGGTGCGGCCCCGCCCAGAGTGGGGGCGGGACCCGGAGCCAAAGGTGAGGGGGCGGGCCCCGGAGAAGCGGGGAGGGGACACAGGTGCCGGTGTCTGTGGAGGAGGCGGAGTCTGGGGGGATCTGGCACTTGAGTTCCTAGAGATGGGGTTCGAAAGTCTGATCCCCTAAAGAGAGCTGGATGGGGTGGCTGAGGTGGGTGGACACGGGAGGAGACTTCAATGGGTAGGAATTGTAGGTAGGACGCCTGGGCCCCTTCTGAGACCGACTGGAGCCTGGGTCCCAAGGGTTGCAGTGGAGGAGTGGCTGGGGGAGACCTGAGGCTTTGGGGGCTGCGGGTAGGGCTGGGAGCTTAGCTATCCAAACCCTGCGGGGAGGTGGGGCTGGGACGGAGCACTCCTGGGGCTTTCGGACCCAGGTTTGGATCTTTGGCTGGGGCGTAGGATTAAAGATCAGAGAGCTGAACTTTTTAGGAGTAAAGGTCGGGGAGATGGTGCGATCCCTTTGTCCTGGACAAGGAAAGCATAGAATGACCAGACTCCTTGGTCCCCTAGTAGCAGGGGTTGGGTGTCTGAGGGAGCAGGAGCTTGGCAACATAATTCCTGAGTACCCACGTGAGGGGCCTGCGGGAAATCAGGCCAGAGTTGAGACGCCCAGATTTCCAGAGGAGGTGGGTCCCTCAGGAGATGAGGCGGGAAGATGAGGTTCAAGAATGCGGGGGTCAAGGCGCGTCTGGTAGGCTCCGGGCTGGAGGAGCGTGGTTTTCTCCCCAACCTGCGCAATCCGTAGCATCAGCCCAACTCCGGCTGTGCGCTAGGCAGCCACCTGGGGGCGCTGTGGGCCGGGTCGTCCCTGCGTCCCAGGAGTCCCTTTGAGGTGTAGGAAGCTGAAAGGGGTTTAGCTGAGCTCTCATCCTAAACTCCTTTCCCCACTCAACCCTCATTCCGTCTTAGACCACGAGAAATCTTTTTTTTTTTTTAAGATTTTATTTATGTATTAAAGAGAGAGCGCGCCAGCACAAGCAGGGGAAGCAGCAGGCAGAGGGAGAAGCAGGCGCCCCACTAAGCAAGGAGCCCGATGCGGGACTCGATCCCAGGATGCTGGGATCAGAACCGGAGCTGAAGGCAGACCCACCCAGGTGTCTATTTAGAGCCCGAGAACTCTTCACTTACAGGGTCCTCAACGTTGCATCTCAAACCCAGCGAAAATCGGGTCTTTGCAGTCCGGATGGCTGGGTCTGTCTTCCAGCTCTTGGCATTTCTGCCCTCTCTGAGCCTGTTTCCTCTTCCAGAAATAAGATAACAACCCACCGGCCTGGTAAAAAGTCAGATTTTTGACTATGCTAAGTGTTGATGACGAGCTGATGGGAGTGTAAACGAACAAATAAGTTGGAAAGTAATTTGGTGGCATCCATCAGACCTTGGACAGAGCGCGGCCATTACTGGCTACAGCCTCCTGAGCTCCAGCTCCTAAACACGTTTGCTCAGATCAGGTCATGATATACACCTGAAACAGTTTCACGGGGTAATCCGTACCCTGACTACGTGCACGTGTTACAATAGCTTCTGTTCTATTCTATTCCATTTCATTAAAGGGAAAATCATGTTTCCAACCCACTAAATTGATTTCACAACCCACTAATGGATCTTGTTGGGCAGTTTGAAAATTACTGCCCTAAGAAACTCCAAGAGACTTGTTCCAGAATGTTAATTGCAGTCTTGTCGGAAACGGAGAAAACTGGAAACAAGGTAAGGCCATCACCAGCAGGAGGGATGAATAAATTGCGGTATACTCTCACAAAGGCCTCCGACACAGCAGTTCAAATGAATGAATTGGACGCACATACCAATAGTGTGAGTCCTGAACACATGATGATGAGTGTACTGGGTTGAATAGTGTGCCCCACCCCCAAATTCAAGTCCTCTAGAACCTTATTTAGAAATACAATGTGATGGGGCGCCTGGGTGGCTCAGCGGGTTAAGCCTCTGCCTTCGGCTCAGGTCATGATCCCAGGGTCCTGGGATGGAGCCCGCATCGGGATTCTCTGCTCAGCAGGGAACCTGCTTCCCTTCCTCTCTCTGCCTGCCTCTCTGCCTACTTGTGATCTCTGTCTGTCAAATAATAAATAAATAAATAAATAAATCTTAAAAAAAAAAAAGAAAGAAATACAATGTGACCTTATCTAGAAGTGGAGTTCTTGAAGCTGTCACTAAGTTAAGATGAGTTCATACTATTAGAGTGGGTCACAAACCCAGTATGATTGGAAATTTGGATACGGACACAGGTACATACATGGAAGAAAGCCACATGGTGTCAGAGGCAGAGATCAGAGCCAAGGAATGTCAAGAATTGCTGGCAAACACCAGAAGCTGGGAAGAGGCAAGGAAGGATCCTCTTCTCGAGCCTTCAGAGAGAGTGTAGCCTTGCCAACACCTGGGTTTTGGGTCCTTCCCAGAATGGGGAGAAAATAAATTTCTGTTGCTTTAAGCCACTCAGTTTGTGGTCCTTAGTTACAGCAGCCCTAGGAAACTAATATAATGAGTAATGATAATAATTTAAAAAAAAAAAGGTGCAGAAGGATTACAGGGCAATGTCATATCAGGTTTGAAAAACTGCAGAGCCAATGCCATAGATTATATGGGGATGCATCTGGATGTGATCATAGTATGAGAACATGGGAGGGGGGCACCTGGGTGGCTCAGTGGTTAAAGCCTCTACCTTTGGCTCAGATCGTGATCTCAGGGTCCTGGGATCCAGTCCTGCATCGGGCTCTTTGCTCAGCAGGGAGCCTGCTTCCTCCTCTCTCTCTGCCTGTCTCTCTGCCTACTTGTGACCTCTGTCAAATAAAGAAATAAAATCTTTAAAAAACAAAACAAAACACAGGAGGTCATGCTGAACATCACTTGCAGGACGTGGCAAAGGGAAAGGGAGGGACTCCAAGAAGGACGATGTCATTAATACCTTAATTGGAAAAATGTGGATCAAATAGGGCAACATGGCTAAGAGTTCCTCTAGCCGCATTGTGGATCCAAAAGCAGTGAATGATAGGAAAAGATCCGCAACATTGTTATCAGTCAGATGAAAATCAGAATGACAATGAGCTACCACTTCACACCTGCAAGGATAGCTGTAATGGAAAAGACAGATAATAAGCACTGGGGAGGCTGTGGAGGAATTGGAACTGCTGGTGGGAATGTAAACGGTGCAGCTGCTTTGGAAAACGATTTGGCAGCTCCTCAAAGTAGGGGAAATAAAGAGAGTTTATCTACGGCAAAATAGAGTTAGTGTTTGACCCAGCAATTTCACTCCTATGCAGATATATTCCAGAGAACTGAAAACATGCATCCACACAATTATTTGTGGAAATAACCTAAACGTCCATCAGTTGGTAAGTGAGTAAATGAAAAGCAGTGTACCCGGACAATGGAAGATTGTTCAACCATTAAAAGGAATGAATGCCACGAGGTAGATGAATTTGGAAAACATTATGCTAGGAGCGCCTGGGTGGCTCAGTCGGCTAAGTATCAGACTCTTGATCTCAGCTCACATCTTGATTCCGGAGTCCTGAGTTCAAGCAGCATTGGGCTCCATGCTGGATGTGGAGGCTACTTTAAAAAAAAAAAAAAATTAAGGGGCTCCTGGATGGCTCAGTGGGTTAAAGCCTCTGCCTTCAGCTCAGGTCATGATCTCAGGTTCCTGGGATCCAGCCCGACATTGGGCTCTCTGCTTAGCAGGGAGCCTGCTTCCCTTCCTCTCTCTCTGCCTGCCTCTCTGCCTACTTGTGATCTCTGTCTGTCAATAAATAAATAAAATCTTAAAAAATTTAAAACACCCAGACTCCCCTGTATGATCAGATTTATATAGTGTTTGGAATAGGCAAATCTATGCAGACAGAAAGTATGTTAAGGATTGCCTGAGCTGAAGGGGGTTGGGGAGAAGTAGGGAGTGGCTACCAAATGGGTATGGGGTTTGTTTTTAGGGTGAAGACATGGTTTTAAATTCATTTTAATGATGATTGCACAGCCCTTTGAATTTACTAAAACCACTGAATTGCACACTTCAAATAGTTGAATTGTATGGTGTATACATTGTATCTCAATAAAGCTGTTTTCATATTTTTATTTTATTTATTTATTTAAAAATTTTTAAAGATTTTATTTATTTATTTGACAGAGAGACACAGAGAGAGGGAACACAAGCAGGGGAAGTGGGAGAGGGAGAAGCAGGCTTCCTCCTGAACAGGGAGTCCGATGTGGGGCTCGATCCCAGGACGCTGGGATCATGACCTGCGCCAAAGGCAGACGCTTAACAACTGAGCCACCCAGGAGCCCCTATATTTTTATTTTTTAAAAATTTTGTAAAAAATAAAGCTGTTCTTTAAAAAGTGAAGGCTAGACCCCCCTCCCACGATAGCCACAAGAGGGCGCTCCAAGTACAGACTCGCCTCCTTCGGGTACAAGCTTCTCAGACCACGCCCCCCAAGTCTGGCCACGCCTCTGGGCTCTGGCCACGCCCCAAGGTTCAGGAGGTGGCTTGCCCCTGGTCCCAGCCAGGCCTCTGAGTTTGGCCACACCCCTTAGCCACGCCCCAAGGCCCCGGCCCCGCCCCAAGGCAGCTTCTGCCACAGCGAATTCACCCTCCCAATTCCCCAAACTCTGACCACAGATACCTGCACAGGCTTAGATACTGGTAGAAACACAGAGCCTTAAACCCCCCTTTTGAGCCCTGACTTTTTAATTCTCATTTTTTCTCTACGGAAATCATTTTAGGCTTACAGGAAAGTAGGGGCGCCTGGGTGACTCAGTCGTTAAGCGTCTGCCTTCGGCTCAGGTCATGATCCTAGCTAGGGTCTTGGAATCGAGCCCTGAATCTGGCTCCCTGCTCAGCAGGAGGCCTGCTTCTCCCTCTCCCATTCCCCCTGCTTGTGTTCCCTATCTTGCTGTGTTTCTCTCTGTCAAATAAATAAATGAAAAAAAATAAAATAAAGATAAACTTACAGGAAAGT